TCCCAGGGGCCTCTCAGGCATTTCCGAGACGTTCGCGGGGGCTTCTGAAGGCGTTTCGGGAGCCTTCCAGAGCTTCCCAGGCGCTTCCGCAGACCTTCCAATCCCAGTGGGGCTTTGCAGGCAAGGTCTCTGTTGTTGCGGCTTCGGCGCGAGCTGCCGCTGAATGACGCGTCATTGATACCTCGGCGTCAGTCTTCCGCGTGGCCGCAGCCCGGACGTGCTGCAAGCAGGGCATCACTGTTGATTTCGCCCGTTTCGTTGCCCCTTCCATGTATTCCTGTCTTCCCCTCATTTTGCCCCTCTTCCGTCCGTGGCTGGAGAGACGTCGTAGTAGCAGCCTGAGCCGGTCCGCAATACATATATATATATATATATACACTCCTTTTTGTTCGTGCGCTGCACTGAAATTGCGGCGCGGTATCCCTCATGTATGTTGCTCGTGTTTACAATATCCGTGCAGCCAGCAGCCTAAAGAAGGACAGTACTGGCACGAATGCCAGTGATGTTGATTTCGTTCGGCTCGCTGCTCCCTCCCCCTCGAACGTTCCTCAATTTACTGCGTGCAATTCGCGCGTGCTGGTGCTCGTTTACTTGGTCCACGGCGCACGCTCAGTGGCTCAATGCAGCGCACGCCCACTTTTCTGCAGCACTGACCTGTCGTTTTGCTGCCCCAGCAGCGGAGGTGCCTGGGGAAGGGCCGCCAGGTGGGGCGTGGAGAGGCCGTCCCCCCGTCTCTGCAGACCCTTGGTCGGCGCTTAGGCGAGTCCCCGGGCGCCTTTCGCAAGCCACCGCGGCATGGGGCCGCCCGCCATTTCTGCCGAGCTGCCCGATGGAGCAATCCCCTGCCACGATCTGCTTCCAACGTCAGTTCTGTAGAGCTGGAGCGTCCACCGTACTTCAGCCCGCCTTCTCTCCCCCCTCACCCCGCCCCCTCCCCCGCTCCTCTCCATCATGTGCTGACGTGTTCGTTCTATGGTTTGGGCCATTTAGGCCGTTCGCTGCAAACCGCGCCCCCGAACCATGGTACGTTGCAAGGGTTCGCCTCTTGCAGGCTGGTCAGTGCGTTGCTCCAGGTTGGCTTCGAGTTTCCTCGAATCCTGGCGTGTGCTTTCCTCCCCTCTATCTGCCTCTCCACCCGTCCTTCTTTGACTTGATATTGTAGTTGGTCGATTGGAATGGGATGGCACAGCTCGCGATTGGAAACGTAGTGTTTGTACCCGTTTTGGCGCGGGGGTCCGAGAAATTGGCCAGGCGCCCCTTTGGAGCGCTTGCGAACATATAAGATGCGCGCTTGACCGTAGATCGATGTGTCGTTTAAGCATTGTTCCCGAGGCCACGGTCGCGCCAGGTATTCTAGTAGCACCCTATTCCAGAAGCTGTTTCATGATGTTTCCCATTTCGCTGTTCCCTACGCCGACGGCCCTGAGATGCTTACCTTTGTTGAGCACCCGCCGTATGTCTGGCAGATATTGACGTATTCAATCGTCAAACCTAACATCCCGACTCATCTCATCGTAGACGCTCTTAGCCAGGACTAGCTCAGACGTGCGTAGGTGATCTCAGCTCGGTATAGCCTCGCATAGAATAGATTCCAGAAGTCTAGCTTAGCGCATTATAGTTCGCACTCGCTCATATCACCGAGTACTCATCTAGATATAGCCAAGCTTAGCTCTTATACAGCTTGGTGTAGTCCAGCTAGGCGCACGAGATTCGCTCGATTATGCTAAGATGAGTTTCGTTTATCTGGCCATGTTCCCTTTTCAACTCATGGCCGCCCAGCCTGGCTCGCGTTAGCTTAACCGTAGCTTATGGTTACCCCTAGCGGGAAGGCGGCTTCGGTTCGTGTCGCGCGTGCGGGCGACGCGAAGTTGCGCAAGGGTAAAGACGTGCCGCTGCGGCTGGGGCCCAGACGTACAAAAAGTGTCTCTTATGGTTCCGCGGTTCCTCGCCGTGGTTCTCCCACGGTAGTCCTTCGGTTGTCTTGCGGGTTGTCCCGCGGTGTGTCCCAGGTTTTGTTTTGTCCTTGTCCCGTGGAGTGTTCTGTGGTTGGCCCGTGGTTGTTTCGCAGGTTGTCCCGTGGATTGCCCCACGAGTTATCCCGTGGTTGTCTTGTGAGTTACCCCGTTGGAATGAAAATGAATTGGCAATCGGCATGCAAACAGAAATTCAAATCTGATGTCAGTGGAAATGCGGATCGACATGCAAATCGAAAATCGAATCGAGATGCAAATCGACATGAATATCAAAACGCAAGTCGAATTGCATGTAGAAATGTAAACCGACTTGAAACAGGAATGCGAATACATTGCAGCCGACATCCAGCTCAAAGTGTAGCTCCAAACGTAATCAACATGCAAATCGACTTGCACACCGAGGTAGATAGCTAGGCCCGTAAAGAAAGGGAGAGAGAGAGAGAGGGAGTTCGTATTATACACATGCGCATGTATAATCCGGATGAGAAATATTACGAGTGCATGCCAATAGTCAGAGTGCCTATAGGTCGTTAGATCGATAGACGGATAGTCAGATCGATTGATTGTGAGATCGGCGGGTAGTTAGCGAGATGAATAGATAGCTAGGTCGGTAGGCAGATAGATTGCGAACCCGGCCGGATGTCAATCGCAAATCGGAAGTTGCGCCCACGTCTTCTCCCATTTCTTTATCACCCGAAGGGTGGTCTATGAGGTATCCAGCTGCCTGCGGCAAGTCCCGCCACCGGGCCCTCCCAGCATTCTGGGAGGCGGTCGTTAGAGGGGGCACGGGAGTCCGTCATGTGTGACACTTCGTGTATTCAGGCTCGGGAGAGCCGTGATAATGATGGCGAGGATAATGGGGATGATGACGATGATGATGATGATGATGATGATGATGATGATGATGATGATGATGATGATGATGATGATGATGATGGTGATGGTGATGATGATGATGATCGGTTGACGACGACGACGACGACGACGACGACGGTGATGATGATGTTGATGATGAGGGTAGTGATGATGGTGATGTTGATCATGGTGATGATGATGGTGATCGTTGATGGTGATGATGGTGATGATGGTGTTGAGGAGGATGGTGATGGCGATGATGATGCTGATGACGATGGTGTTGATAGTGATGATGATGGTGATGGTGTTGGTGACGACGACGACGACGATGCTGATGATGATGGTGCTGGTGATGGTGATGCTGATGATGTTGATGAAGATGGTGGTGGTGATGGTGGTGATGATGACGATGACGACGATGAAGTTGATGATGGTGATGGTTATAATGATGATGGGGATGATGATGATGATGATGATGATGATGATGATGATGATGATGATAACGATGATGATGGTGGTGGTGCTGGTTTATGTTAATGATGATGATGCTGATGATGATGATGATGGTGATGATGTCGATGGTGATGGCGATGGTGATGATGGTGACGATGATGCTGATGATGATGACGAAGATGATGATGAAACTCGTTTGGGCCGTCTTGGGGCTGCCGCTGTTGGCATGAAAAAACGCCCATCTAGAAACGACACTGCGAAGTGCCCGCCCCCGGACCCCCCATTTCAATGTTGCGTTCGCGGCCACTGTCGGGGCGGAAGCATCGGCATACAAAAAAACGCCCAGATCTTCACCGCCAAGGCGGCCCCGTCTTCAACATCGAAATTGGGGGCCAAGGGGTCCTGAGTGCATCAGCGTTGACCTTTACGCCTGATGGGCGTTTTTCACGCCAATGTGAGACAGTCTTGGGGGTTCCTGGAGCCTTCTTGGGCTGTCTTGGGGCCCGCTTTCACCAGCTTGGTGTTCTCTTGGGCTGTATTAGTGCTCTCTTGGCCGTATGGTGGGTGGCTGGGGGCCTTCTTGGGCCATCGTGGAGTTCTCGTGAGCCGTCTTGAGCTGACGGCAGCCCGAAAATGAGAGAATGCGAAAATCAAGTTCGAAACCAAAGGGAAATCAATGGTTTGAGCTTCTTCGGACCCTGTTGGAGGTCCTCTTGTAGCACTTTTGGGCCCTCTTGAAGGCCTCTTGGGCCGCCTTGAAGCAATATTCGGCCGCCTCGGGGCCGTCTTGGGCCGTTTTCGATGCATCTTGGGCCCTCTTGGTGTTCTAGGTTTCCTGCTCGGGCCGTCTTGGAAGCTCGGGACGCAGATCCATCGTGTTTAATGAGGAATCGTGGCTTGGGAGGCCCTGGAGCGCTTGGGAGCAGCGCCCGGGAATGCGGGACGTGCACGATCCTCGAGAGGGGGGGGTGGGATGAGTGGTCTAGGAGGTAGCAGACATGCGGGAAGTGCGCAATCTTCGAGCAGGCGCGCATGGAATGAGGGTTCAGGCATTAGTTCCCGTGCGGGAAGTGCACCATCCTCGAGCTGGCACGCGTGGAAGGGGGTTCAGGCATGAGCTGCCATGCGTGAAGCGCACCATCCTCGAGCGGGCACGCGTGGAAGGGCTGGTTAGGCACTGGCTGCCATGCGGGAAGTGCACTTTCCTCGAGCGGGCGCGCATGGAAAGAGGGTTCAGGACATTCATTCGCTGCCACGCGGGAAGCTCACCATCCTCGAGCGGGCACGCGTGGAAGGGGTGGCTTGGCATTGGCTGCCACGCTGGGTGTGCACCATCCTCGAGCGGGCACGAGGGAAGTGGCCTCGGTGTTCAGCCTATTCCTCCCATTTCCCCATCACCCGAAGGGTGGTCTATGAGGTACTCAGTTGCAGCTTCAGGCTCGGCCACAGCAGAGATGTTGTCTTCAGACTGGGAGCCAGCTCGGAGATGCAGCATTCAGCCATACGGTGAAGCCGCCGTTCGAAATCACAGAAGGCTGTCTTGAGACGTCGACGGCATCCCGCAGCCAGCCTGCAGGCTCCACTCTGCTCACGCCACTGGCGGCAGGAGGCGGCAGGCATGCAGGAGAGGACGGCGCATGCGCGGGACCCCGTGGGAGGCGGAGGGAGCGGGCGAGCACGGAGGCCGTTTCCCGCTCGTGGAAGGGGCGCGCCCCGCAGGCCGAGCTGACCGAGGCGGAGCGCAGGGACTGGTTCCGGAAGCGCGCGGGCGCCTGCCCAGACCTGCAGGAGCGCGTGCTGAGCGCCTGCTTCCCGAGCTTCACGGTGCCCTCGGAGGCCGCGCCGCGACGCCCGCGGTGGGGGGGGCCTCTCCTTGCTGCTCGTTGCGCCCCTGCCTGACACAATCGAGGGAGAAGGCTGGGTGACATATGAGGAAGAGAAGAGCAGGCTGGGTGTCAGATTAGAACGAGAAGGGCAGGAACGAACACAATGATGATGGTGCATGAGCACGCGAGACTTCTGGCAACGGTGACAATGATAACCATCGGAAGAAGCGCCGAGCAGCGCTGGCATGCTCAGAGTCGTCCCGCGAGGCACGCGGGGGCGAGTGATATCCAGCCCCCATGTGCGCCTCCTTCCTCGCGTTCTCTTGCGCACGTCGGCCCTGTGTGCAGTGCGGCGTGCGAGCCTCCTCGCTGCGCGCCTCGTTGCCGCACCGTCCGCCCCCCACGAGGTGTTGCCTCGCATGTGCTGCCGGCCTCCATTCTTGCCTTCTCCGCTCGCTCCCCTCCTCCTCCTCCTCTTCTTCCTCCTCCTCCTCCTCCTCCTCCTCCTCCTCCTCCGCCTCCTGCTCCTGCTCCTGCTCCTGGTCCTCCTCCTCATCTTCCCCGCGTCCTCCTTCCCTTCCCTCCTCCACTTCCGCGTTCCCCCGCTTTCCGCTTCCCGGTCTGAGTGCGGCCCCCGCCTCCCTTTTCTTCCGCGGCCGCTCTCTTTCCTTCCCCCCGCGTCGGTGCCAGCTCGCATCAGCTCGATCGTTCGAGCCGAGATCTAGCTTTAAGTCGGGCCTGTCCTTCTACAGGAGGAATATTCTAAAATAGCTGTTGGACAAAGAGTTAAATAAAAAACCAACAAAAAATCTGGGGGCGACGGTTTGACTATTTTTGAGTATTTTTCGAACATGTTTGACTACCTTTGATTTCCGCCCAAAATCCACCTGTAGGAGGACACGCCCGACCTACATCTAGCTGTACCGACTTGTGCGATCGCCGAGTCCGCGACCAGAGAGTACTTGCCCGCTCCGCTGCCACTTTCTGGATCACCGCCCTCTCCCGGCCTGGGGAGCCTCCTCTCCTGCCGACGCCCAGCAGCGAGCCGCTCCAGGCAGCGACGCCCCGCGCCATCCCGGCGGCGCGCCGCTCTCGACTTGGCATCGCTCGGACGTGTGCATTTTCCCTCCGGCGAGGACCATCGAGGAGCATCCTGGATCATGTCGCGAAGAACCACGCACGAAACCGAAAAAGGCACAGGAAATGGACGTCCGAGCGATGGCCAGTCGACGGCGCCGCCGTGCCGCGGCGCGGCGCACCAGCTCCGGCGGCGCGCCCGCGCTGCGGAGCGCGGCGGCCGCTTCGCGGCCCGACGGCCGACTGCGATCCGACCCGCTGCGCTTCGACGACCCGGCTCGCTGTCCGGGCTCGCGAGGGTCCGCTCCGCCTCGGCTCGATGCGTCGGGGGTGGACAGAACCCCCAGCAGTGACACGTCGATTCGAGGAGAGAGCGTGATCCACCGCCGCTTTAATGTGGAAAATTGCCAACCTTTTCCTCCGGAACCCGGGGTCCCCCCCCCCCCCTCCGAAAATCCCCCCCCCCCCTGCTGGAACCCCTCCCCCCCCCACCCCCCCTCCCTCCCGGCAAAACCCCCCCCTCCCCTAACCCCCCCCCTCTCCCCCTCGAAAACCGGGGGGGGGTCACTACCGGTTCGAACCCCTCCCCCCCCCCCCCCCCCTCTGGATCCGGAAAACCGGGGGGGGTCACTACCGGTTGGACCCCCCCCCCCTCGAAAACCGGAGGGGGGTCACTACCGGTTCGACCCCCCCCCCCCACGCACCGCCAGCAAACGACTCCCGGTCCCTACCACCGCTCGCATCACATCCCCCACTGTTGTTCCCAGCACCACTGTCCTCACCACCACTGCCCCCGCTGGTTCCACCACCGTCCCTATTGTCCCCACCAGTGCCCCCACCACTGTCGCACTGTCCCCACTGTTCCCACAACTGTTCCCACCACGGTTCCACTCTCCCCACTGTCTCCACGGACCCAACCACTGCCTATCCCCACTGTCCCCACTGTCCCACTGACTCCTCCGCTGTCCCACTGAGCTGTCCCACTGTTCCCACCACTGTCCCCACTGTCCCCACCACTGTCCCCACTGTACCTCTGTCCCATTGTCCCACCGCCGTCCTCGCCGACGCCTTTACCAGTGTCCCCACCACCATTGTACCCTCCACTGTCCCAGTGTTTCCACCTCATTCCCACTGTCCCCACACCACTGTCCCCACCACCACCGTTCCCACCACTGTCCACTGTCCCCCCTGTTCCCACCATTGTCCCCACCACTGTCCCCACCACTACCGTCCCCACCACTGTCCCACTGTCCCCCCACTGTCCCCACCACTGTCCCGCTGTCCCCTCACCACTGTCCCCACCAACACCGTCCCCACCACTGTCCGCACCCCCACTCGGTTTTCGAGGGGGGGGGGGGGGGGTTCGAACCGGTAGTGACCCCCCCCCCTTTTCATGATGAGCTGGGGGGGGGGGGGGGAGGGGTTCGAACCGGTAGTGACCCCCCCCGGTTTTCCGGAGGGGGGGGGGAGGGGTTCGAACCGGTAGTGACCCCCCCCGGTTTTCCGCCAGCAGCGGTAGAACACGCTCTTTCATTAGTGAATTGTCCGTTTGCGGTTCTCGAGAGGGCGCCGTGGCCGTTATGTTCCAGGCTTGCGCCCGCCAGGTTTGGGCCTCAGGTCGTTTTCACTAAACCGCGTTTTACTAAAGGGAGGTCTGTCCATCCCCGAATCCGTCGGCATCGGCCAGGGCCGGCCCAGAGAGCCGGGCGCGGCGATGCGGTTCGGAGTCGCCTCGAGCCGATCGGCCATCGATCCGACCCGCCTCCGGTCCGACGTCGCGCTTCGATCCGGCCTGGTCCTGTCCGATGCCGCGCGCGATTGTGAAATGCTGGCGCCTTGAAGACAAGGATCGCGCGCCGTGCGCGCGAACGCAGCGGACATGACCAGGATCCTTGACAGCAAAAGCTCTGCTTGTAGACTCGGCTCCCCTTCCACTACATAGCCCGTCTTACCTCCCCCCCTCCGATCTCTCTCCCACTTGAGAGCAGTGGGGGTGAACGCGAGTGGACGGAGCCCGCACCCCACTTGCATTGATTAGACGCCCCTTCGTTGCACATCTGTTTCGGAGCCAGCGGAGCCGACACCAAGTTAGTGTTTCGTGAGACGGAATTTGTCTTGCTGGGACTTGACAAGACCTCTGTTGGCTTGGGCCTCTGGCACCCTGAGGGTGGAGAGGTGGGCGGGTCTGAGAGCGAGGCGAGCATTGATAACTGCCTTCTCTGTTTGATGCCAGGCTTGGTCTGCGTTCTTGAGTCTCGTAGCTGTCTGCTAGCTGTCTGAGTCATAAAAGGTGCGGCCCCCTCTTTGGACTACCTTTGGACCTGAAACGCCTGGGGGCCTGCTCGGAACCTCGCGGACGCCTCCTCCCCATGGCTGTCGGCGTTGGTTGCAGCTTCTATTGCCTGGGGAGTTCCTGAGCCCACACTTCCTGCCCACTCTTGGCATGAACGCGGGCGCCTAGGGCTGACAGCCTGGCCAACCGTGGGGACGGCAGGTTGGGCTGGCACCTTTCTCGTACCTGACCAGGTTAGGCACTCAGTGGCGTCGTCGTCGTCGTCGTCGCCGCCGTCGTTGTCGTCGTCGTCGTCGTCTCGCGGTGTGCGCTCCGACCCGGATCTCTGGAGGCGAACCAAGCTGGGGCGCTTACCCAGACCCCTTCGCGCTGCGAAAACAACACCACGGAAGGCTTTTCGCTATTTTCGGCCTCCTGGGGCCCTCACCGGGCCCGGGGACCGTCAGAAAATGGCTGAGGATGAAAAACGGGTCCCGGGGAAGGGGTCCAGACCTCTGGGGGTCGACGCTGTGAACGAAAAACACGACGTCAGGGGTCTGGGTAATGGGGGGGGCGATGATGGGAGGGGCAGCGAGGGCTGCCGAAAAAGGGCACCTGCCTCCCCCCCCCCATCGATCGCCCCCCAGCAATGCGCGCCAAACCAGACGGAGCCACGAGCTTGGCATTGCTCGGACGTGTGCGTTTTTTCTTCGGCGAGGACCATCGAGGAGCATCCTTGATCATTTGGCGAAAAAGCCACGCACGAAACAAACAAAAAAAACAGGAAATGGACGTCCGAGCGATGGCCAGCGAGGGGACGTCGGACGGGGCTACGACCCTCCTCGAAATCAAGCGCAAGTTTTTCATGCTGATCGACGCGCGAAACGCGGCCCGCGGGGCCAGGTTGTTGTGTTTACAGTCGCCAGTTTCGAAGCGAGTCTCGAAAGTTTGGGGCCTTGGAGCGCCGCCACGCCGCGGGAAAAACTTGCGTTTGACTTCGAGGAGGGATGTAGGGCAAGGATAGATCCGTTCCAGAGCGTGCCGAAACGCTCTCGGAGCGTTCCGGAACGCTCCAAGAAGGCCGTGGCGCCCGAGGCATCCTCCGGAGCCGCCAGAGCCGAGAGATCCTCGACTTGTCCTCGCCCGATGCTGCCTCCGTCCTGGCCTCGCCTTCGAGGGGACGGGCCCAGGCCTCCTTCGAGAAAACATCGGGGCCGCAGGCGCGGGGGGGAGCGAGCTGGGGCCTCGGGCGCGGGGCCCCGCCCTGGCTGGCAGAGGCGGCCACGGGCGTGCCGCCCGGGCGCCGCCGAGGGGCCCCCCCCCCATGGGGGCCTCGCGGAGCGCGCGCGGAGCTCCCCGGGCGAGCAGGGGGGCGCCGGAGGGGCGCAGAGCGCGAGGCCCCCGTGCCAGCAGTCCTCCTCCTCCTCCTCCTCCTCCTCCTCCTCCTCCTCCTCCTCCTCCTCCTCCTCCTCCTCCTCCTCCTCCTCCTCCTCCTCCTCCTCCTCCTCCTCCTCCTCCTCCTCCTCCTCCTCCTCCTCCTCCTCCTCCTCCTCCTCCTCCTCCCTCCTCCTCCTCCTCCTCCTCCTCCCTCCTCCTCCTCCTCCTCTCCTCCTCCTCCTCCTCCTCCTCCTCCTCCTCCTCCTCCTCCTCCTCCTCCTCCTCCTCCTCCTCCTCCCTCCTCCTCCTCCTCCTCCCTCCTCCTCCTCCTCCTCCTCCTCCTACCTCCTCCTCCTCCTCCTCCTCCTCCTCCTCCTCCTCCTCCTCCTCCTCCTCCTCCTCCTCCTCCTCCTCCTCCTCCTCCTCCTCCTCCTCCTCCTCCTCCTCCTCCTCCTCCTCCTCCTCCTCCTCCTCCTCCTCCTCCTCCTCCTCCTCCTCCTCCTCCTCCTCCTCCTCCTCTCCTCCTCCTCCTCCTCCTCCTCCTCCTCCTCCTCCTCCTCCTCCTCCTCCTCCTCCTCCTCCTCTCCCTCATCCTCCGAGGTTTTGCGCCGTTGGCGGGCTCTCGGGGCCCTCGACGGGCCCCGGGAGGGTCAGGAAACGACTCGGGATGAAGAGCTGGTCCTTGGGGGGAGAGGCCCGAGAGTCCCCAGGACCTGTTTTCCCCTCCCCCGCTGCCCCCGTGCTGCAGTCGGGGGTTGCGAAAGGTGCCCCTGGCCGCCCCAGGGTGCCCGGCTTCTCGCTCCTTTGGGAGCCCCATGGGGCTCTTCGGGCCTCCTTGGGGGTGCTCTGGAGGCCGTGGGGGCCTCCTTGGAAAGCCTGGGGGCACCGTGGGCCAGGGGCACTTCTAGCAACACCCGACCCTGCCGGCAGCTTGGGCGACGCCACCGCCCCCAGGAGGAGGGCTTCGACGAGGTGCGCCACGCCTGGCTGCCGGCGGCGAAGAGCGCCGATCACCTGAGGGCGCGCCCGGGGACCCCCACCAGAGCGGCCGGGGCTGGGTCGATGATCCTCAGGACGTGTGCTGGGCCAGTGTGAGCTCGCCCCGCTCAGCTCCGATGGCGCGCAGCCCGTGTTGGGCCTCTCGGACTACGCCGCCTGCGTCGCTCTGGAGGGCTTCGGTGGACGAACACGCGGTGGCGCCGACACGCGTTCTGAGGAGTGCAGGCCTCCGGCGCCGCTCGGCCTGGGCCCGCCCGCTCGCCGTGGGAGAGCGGCGGCCGAGGCCGTCTGCTGCAGCTGCGCCTCGCTGCCGTGCAGCCGAAAGGCCGAGAGCAGGACCGCGCGGGGCCCTCCGTGGATCTCGACCTCCTCCTCCTCCTCCTCCTCCTCCTCCTCCTCCTCCTCCTCCTCCTCCTCCTCCTCCTCCTCCTCTGAGCAGGACGGGCGGTGGTGTCCGGACCGCTGCGTGGATCTCGGCCGGGGAGCCCCCTGCGTGGCCGAGGCCCGGCGTGGCCAGAAAGGCCCCTTCGCTCCTGCTTCGGAGCGACTCGCGGCAGCACGGTGACCGTAGCTTCCGCGCGCGGGTTGGCAGTCTCTGCGGTCCGAGGCGCGGCCAGCAGCTCGTCCACGCATGCCGGAGCGCGGCTCGCTGGGCCGAGGTTGCGTCCGCTGGCCCTTGCTGTTTGAGATTGTGCTTAGCACCTGCATGCGTCGATCGACGAATTTGATGTGGGCGCTGGCCAGAATATTGGCCGATTGAGGTAAACTAGGCTGACATGCCGCGGTCGGCGTTTCGGGGGAATGCGCATGTTTTGGCCACATTGGGGGCCCCAGAGTGGCCCAGGACAATCGTGTTCCCCGCTCTCGCCCGCCCAACGGCGCCACGTCGAGAATGCATCCTCGCGCGCACATGGATCCTTGGCAGAGAGGGAGGGGGGTGGCGAGGAGGAGACGCGAGGGGCAAGCGGGGGAGCGTGAGGGCCAGGAGGAGGGCGAGGATAAGCAGGCGAAGGACATCAACAATGCTGCAGCACACCCTCCCGTCCCAAATTCCCTACAGGCCTGCCCATAAGCCTGCGAGCCTTCCTGCTCATTACAGGAAGCGTCCCCCTCAAAGAGGAGCACCCGTTGGCCCTGCCACTCCATTCTGAAAAGGGCCTGCCCTGCATCGTTCTGGCAAGTGGTCGCGACTGCGAAACGGCTTTTTAGCTGAAAGTGAGACGAGGTGTCCAGCGCCATCCCCGTCTTGGGAAAAGGCAGGTCCCCCATCCTGTGCGAATCTTGGAAAGTATGACACGCACCATCCTCACACGTGGGGAGGTCTCGAGCGAGAGCCCCACAGAAACAGAGTCGCCCTCCCTCCGTGCAGCTCAGCTGTTCCCCCATCGGAGCTTGCCTCTCTAGGGGTCCTAGCGGATGCATACGGTAAGGTTGGGTTTGCCGCAGATTTTCGCCGCACGCCCGGCTGCCCGGGGGCCCAGGGGTGCCCGGGTGCCCGGGTGCCCGGGTGCCTGGGTGCCCGGGCGTGTCCGGGGGTGCCCTATAGCCCTATAGCCCAATAGCCCTATAGCCCTATAGCCCATATAGCCATATCGCCCAATGGCCCATATAGCGCCCAAGAGCCCATATAGCCCCGTAGCCCTATAGCCCTACAGCCCTAAAAAGATTATGATTGGATTTTTTCTCTGGTATCATTGGATATTTGTTGAATTTCTAGCTTGTTTCATTTCTGGAGTTCCCGAGCGAGAGCCCCGCTTTGAGAAGAAGCCGCCCTCCACCTGTCTTCGCAAGTGTTGCAAGCTTTTGACACGAATGCGCGCGGTGCCCTGGGCGAGAGCCACCTTTTGAAAACGAGCCAGCCTCCACACTTGAAATGGTTTCGGACTTTCAGAAGAATGTGTGCGGCGTTCAGGCGAGAGACACATTTTGAAAACCATTGGCCTCCATCGTTGATCTTCCTGAAATTAGCTACGAGAACTGTGCGCGGCGCTGAGACGACAGCCGCATATTGAAAACGGTTGGCCGTCCATCGTTGAAATTGCTGCAAATTTGGAAGACGAATGTGCGCTGCACTACGGCGAGGGCTTCATTTTAAGACCGGTCGGACCTCCGTCTCTGTGAGAATGTTGGAGTTGCTTAGCCTCAGAATCGTAAGTTGCAGGGAAGTCTCAAGCAAAACACCCGGCCTGACCTTCGGACACGGTTGGTGGTGCGACAAGGGGAGTGCTTTTTTGTTGGAAGAGGCGTGGAGAAGACGCTGGCGACGAGGGAGAAGAGGGCGGAGGATAAAGGGGGAGGAGGAGAAGGAGGGTCGAGCCAGCCAGTTCGAAGGAGGCAGCGGGCCTTGCCCACTCCCACCGTCCCTCCCATAACACAAGACCCAACGCTGGCACAACCGCACCTCGTAACTCGTGCGTGCGCCCGCCCTGGCTATGCGGCCTCCACCTCCTCCTCCTCCTCCTCCTCCTCCACCTCCTCCTCCTCCTCCGCCTTCCCCTCCCCCTCCTCCTCCTTCTCCTCCTCCCCCTCCCCCTCCTCCTCCACAATTACTCAATATGAATAGTACTCTCCCTCTTCCCCTGATGACGGCCTGGGAGTGTCCGACCCCCTCCCGCGTACTGTTTTTTTACACACAGGTTTCCCCGGAGTTGGGTTTTCGCTTGCATTTTTTTCAAAATGCTGCTCTCGCTGAGGCACCGGCCTCATTTTCGGGCCCCGCTCGTTCCGAATCGGGCTCCCGCTGCAGCGCTGGCCTCATTTCCGTGCTTCCGCTCGTTCCGAATCGTGCTCCCGCTGCAGCGCTGGCCTCATTTCCGCGCTTCCGCTCGTTTCGACTCCTGCTCCCGCTGCAGCGCTGGCGTCATTTCCCGTACCATGCCACGGCATGCACTGCAATGCTAGGTTGATACTACGCTTTGCGGTGCTCTTCTATGCCATGCCATGCAGTGCTCTACAATGCATCGCGTACCCATCATTGCCCTGCTCGACATCCGACTGAGCGAGTAGCGAGGGGATCTGCGCCATGGTAAGAGATGGGAGGGAGGGGTAGGATGTCAGATATGACGCGAGCGCACCTAGCTTGTCCTCCTCCCCCTCCTCCTCCTCCTCCTCCTCCTCCTCCTCCTCCTCCTCCTCCTCCTCCCCTCCTCCTCCTCCTCCCTCCCCCTCCCCCTCCTCCTCCTCCTCCTTCTCCTCCTCCTCCTCCCCCTCCTCCTCCGCCGCCGCCCTCTTCTTCCCGCTGCCTTCCCTGCGCGTGTGCGTGTCCGCCGCCCGGGCGCGGCCCGCCGGCCACCCGAGAGGCGCGCTGTGCGCTCGCCCTCTCGCGGCTGGTCGGAGGTGCCCACCTGGCGAACGGAAGGCGCTCGCACGCGCACGCGCCGCCCCGCTTCCGACGACTGGGCCAAGGGAGAGCGTGGGCGGCGCACGAGCAGGAGCGGAACCTCGGGGGGATCCCTGCGCGGCGATCCGGCGAGACCATTCGCGCGCGCTTTTGGCCGAGTTCCCGTTACGACGGGCGAGGACGAAGCATGCTCAGCGCCGAAGAGGGGGTGCCGCTGTCAGGGGAAGTCTGCGCGGCGCTTCCGGCGAGAGCGACATTTCGCCCGATCGCGCGCAGCCCCGCTTCCGTGTCCGACGATTTACCCGACGGGGCCAGCACGAGGATCAGTCCGTTTCAGAGAGTTCCAGAACGCACTCAGAGCGTTCGGGAACGCTCTGAGAAGGCCGCGGCGCCCGAGACATCAGAGACTCTCGAGTGGCCGTCACACGATTGTACCCTCGTCTTGGCTTCGTCTGAAATTGGCTGACGAAAAATGAGAGGGCGCAACCGAGCGGAAGCGCCATTATCAGGCGGCATCTGCGCGGCTCTCCGGGCGAAAGCAGCAGCTGCACAGCCCGCGCGCTCGACCTCTCGCTGTCGACGAAGTGGTGGCCGCAACGCAGGCGCCGCGCCGCAGCCGGAGCGCTACCTTCCGGCGAGATTGGTTCGGCGAGCGGGCGAGGGCGAGATTTCGCCCGCCTCCGTGCGGCCCCATTGATGGGCCTGTTTTCCACCACCACCACCACCACCACCACCACCATAAGTTGGAGGGGGGAAGGGGAGAGGAGGATCAGGAGGATAAGGAGGAGGAGGAGGAGGAGGACCCCCTCCCCCTGAAACTTCTGGTGGTGGTGGTGGAAAACAGGCCCATCACCCACTGCCTACTAACTGGCGGGGGAAGACATGTGCGCCGCGCGCAGGAGCCTCACTCCTGCCGCAACACTTGCAGCGCCGGTGACACGCCCGTGTCGATTGGGAAAGCGTCGACCTTGTTTTGTGCCTGGTGCAAGGGGTGGAAGGTCCCCGATCTGATTGCCGTCGGTCGGCTAGATGGCAGAGTGGGGAAAAACACGAATCAGGAGCACGATGCTGCAAACACTTCGATGCTGCAATCACTTGTGTGGCGTCTTGGGGCCCTCGTGGGGTTCTCTTGGCTTTCTGCGGGCCCTCTTAGGGTCATCTCGAGTTGTCTGCGGAGGAAGCCCCGTCTTGGGTACCTCTTGGGCCGTCTTCGGCCACTCGAGAGGCCTTCTTGGGCTCAGGGGACCCAGGACTCCCTTGCGCATCCTCCCGACCCCCCCCCATCCCCGAGGACCCCCGCCCGTTCTCTCGGTCGCGAGAGCCGACCCCCCTGGGGGGCCTCTCCCTTCGCCGTTGCCCCCGGGTCGGCGAGCGCTCGTGCAGGCTGCCGGCTGGGCACAGGAGCGCTCCACGAGTCGGACAGGGCTGAAAGTATCAGCCAGGGGGGGAAGCATTTACTGTGTTTTGTGGCCGCTCTTCTTTGGCCTTGCTGCGCGGGCGCTGTATGGAATGCCGAGTGGGCCTGGCCGAACGGATGGACCGCGCTCGAGGGCCCGCGTGGCGGGTGGTCACTCACACGCGTTTCCCGAGGCATGTTCCCCGAGGGCCTTGAGGCCATCCTATTGATTGGAGAGCTCTGCCCATACATTCTGGAGGTGAAGCTCGTCAGGCGACCGTGGCTCCTCCTGGAGTTGCCGCTACGAATGGCAAATCGACCTTCTCACCCAAACGTTCGCCTGGCGAAAGACCCAACCATATGCAGTTGTGAGAGTAACGCGGTTGTGAGTATCGTCTTCGGTAAAGCTCCCCATGGGGCCACCTAACGTGTGAGGGGTATGCTGGCCAGGGTGGGGCGGACGCATGCGAAAACCGCCACTGGAGCCTTCGGTGGCGCTCCCGATGGGGCCACGAGACGCGTGATGGGTGTGCCGAAATAGGCGGAGCGGGCGCATGCGAACACCGCCATTGGGGCCTTCAGTGGAGCCCCCATGTGGGCCCACGAGACGTGTGAGGGGTATGCCGAAATGGGTGCCGTGGGCGCATGCGAACGCAGCCTCAGGGGCCTTGGTGGAGCTCCATATGGGGCCACGACGAAACGTGTGATGGGTGTGCCGACATGGGTGCGGTGGGCGCATGCGAACGCAGCCACTGGAGCATTCGGTGGAGCTCCCTGTGGGGCTGAACGCCGTCCCCCCACTCCATGCTCCCACCTGTCCCCCGACGACTGACAGCGGACCGACGCCTGACGGCCAACGCACGACCCCACCGCTCCCGCCCGTGCTGCCCTGCTGCTTTGCTGCCTGCCTCGTCCTCCCCTCTCCTATGTCTTTGCTCGTCGCCACGCAGGCGCGTTGACTCAGCATGCGTGCCCGCGCTAGGTTCGACGCAGCTGCCAACGATAGCGGGGCCCTGCACTTCCGAGGGGCCAGGGGTTCAAAAGCGGTCCCCGGCTTCCCCTTTCCCTGCTCCTCTTGTTTCTTCCTCCCCCCTCTGCCACTTCACCCACGCGTGATAGTGCAGTGCGCAGCATTCTTGCGGTTTCGGGATGGGCGCGGAAACTTGCAGCCCTAGTCTACTCCTCCAGGGTGGTGCGTCCCAGTACACGTATGTTTATGTTGTGATTTACGTTGCAGGTGGCCTGCTTATGCCGACAGTCTGGCCCTGATTCCATATTTGTTATGCAGTGGTTCAGAACGGCTGTGCAGCACAACATGCCACGAAACGTGTGAGGGGTGTGCCGAAATGAGCGCGGTGGGCGCATTCGAACGCGGCCACGAAACGTGTGAGCGGTGTGCCGACACGGGCGCGGTGGGCGCATCGAAGGCAGCCATTGGGGCTTTCGATGGAGCTCCCTACGGGGCCACGAAACGCGTGAGGGGGGGCCGACATGGGTGCGGTCGGCGCATGCGAAAACCGCCACTGGGGCTTTCGGTAGAGCTCCCTATGGGGCCACGAAACGTGTGAGGGGTGTGCCGAAATGGTTGACTGGCGCGGAGGGCAGAGGCAGGGATAGGGAGGAGGGAGGAGGGGGAGGAGGAGGAGGAGGAGGAGGAGGAGGAGGAGGAGGAGGAGGAGGAGGAGAGGAGGAGGAGGAGGAGGACGAGGGGCGCTTTCTCTTCAAAACGAGGACCCGACACCACAGGACGGTTGGGAAGAAGGAAGACGAAGCGTGCCCCACGAGAAAAACAGCCCTAAACATATTAGATGCAGGGAGCGAAGGGGCCAGGGAGGGAGGGGGGCAGGGAGGGAGAGAGGGAGTGACGAGAACAGGGAGGGGGGAGCAGTAGCGAAGGAGTAGAATGTGCTGTGGGTCTGAAGCTCTGGGTGATGGACGCAGCGTTCTGAGCAAGGCAGGGAAGGGGCAGCGCTCGTCGTATGAGAGCGCTGGGCGTCACGAGCTCGGAGGGAGGATCATCACAGGCAGCAGAATGGCGAGGAGTCGACAGAGGGAGGGCGTGCCAACAGTGCTCCGAATGCCGAGCCAGTGGCAACTCTCCGGGTCTCCTCAGTGGCTGGGGCCGCCGCGGGAGCATTGTGCACTGGGCGCGCGGGAATCAGGCTCGGAAACCTATCCCCTTCCCCATTGTGCAATGGCATCTCAGCCTCAGCCCCACCAGCTCCACCCTCATATGTGAGGATAGGCCCTGCGAAGCTATCTACCACCTAGGTGGGTAAGTCGGCCAGTGGGGCCAAGGCCACGCCAGTGGGGATAGGGGCCAGGTCAAACGAAGCTCAAGGAGCATAAATCTGATGTGGACGGCGAGAAGATCGCTGCCGCCCTGATTATGTTCGTTGCTGCGCGCTTCCCAGAGCAGGCAGCGCGAGGCGCCGCGGCAGCGTGGGCGGGCGGCAGGCGTGGATCTTAGAGCGCAAGCAGTGCACCCGCATCGAGGAGCTGCAGCCCTCGGAATGGTGCGCGCGGCAGGGCTGGTGGGGCTTGCAGTGTCCACATCGCACTGAGCGCACGCCGTCGGGTGCAGCATGGCGGACCACGTGTGCCCGCACACCGTGCATGTAAAGCTTTCCACGGACGCTGGATCTGGACGGCCCGTTCCTCCGTTGCGGCTCGGTGGCAGCTTTGAGCGCGCACTGCACAAGCATCATCACGTGTTCTGGTCATGCCTACCCCCGCAAAAGCGCCCATGGTGCAGTGACAATGTGATCAGCCCGTGTCCTCCTCCTCCCCCATTATCCTCTTCTTCCTCCTCTTCCGCCTCCTCCTCCTCCTCCTCTTATTCCTCCTCATCCTCTTCCTCCTCCTCCTCCTCCTCCTCCTCCTCCTCCTCCTCCTCTTCCTCTGTCCTTCTCCTCTTCCTCCTCATCCTCCTTCTCCTCCTTCTCCTGCTCCTCCTCCTGCTCCTCCTCGTCCTCCTCCTCATCCTCCTCATCCTTCTCCCCCTCCTCCTCCTCCTCCTCCTCCTCCCCCTCATCTTCCGTTCCCACCTCCTCCCGCTTCCTCTTCCTTTTCACGAATTCCCGCCCGCCTCCCACCTGGTCCTCCCCCTTCGACTTGCTCCTCCTTTACGATGTCGATTCCACCTCCATATTATCCTTCCCTCACACCTCCTCCTCACCTCTTCTTCCCTCCTCCGCGTTTCCCCTCCTCTTTTCAGGGCTTGCCACGCTCACGAATCTCCCCCGACCTTCCTCGTCACAGAGGGATGGCCGTCTCCCTGCATCAGCGGCACTGATGTTTCCGTTGCAGCGTGTGCAACATGTAACGATCTTCATCGAGCCTCCGACCAACAGAACGGCGCTCTCACCGCACCGTTGGCCGCACAATCAGGACGTTGAAATTAGCACCATTTCGAGGACTGGCAGGCTCTGGTCTTCGGACCGTTAGGTCTAGGTCGGGGAACCTGTTCATGACCGAGGTTTGCAGTGACCCGAAAGGCCTTTTGGTTCCTTTTTCCGGCGCTCCTCATAGTAGAACGATAACACTAAAGCCTCCGACCAAAGGAACGGCGTTGTCGCCGCATCTTTGGCAGCAATCCTTCATCAGCAGAATTGGTTCTCCCAGTTCAGCGCGTGCCACATTGAAAAATTGAAAATCGGTCTTCCGTCCATGACCCTCGCGCCGCAGCGGTTGCATCCCCATGTGATTCGTGCCACCTAAAAGGGGCTCTCTCACGTGCCTTTTTTTGTGTAGTGGCAACACTTTGATATGTGTGTGCGCCGGTTACGTCCAACCACGTCTTGTTTTGCCCTTGGGCTTCGGCCACATTCCAGAATTCGCATGCGTGTTGCCTCCGGATATGTTTTGTGCGTACGGTTTCAGCACGACTCTGCGAATGGAGGAGATGGGTTCAGCACAACGGAAAGGGATGGAAGGGAAGGGTAGGACGGCGCGAGCATTGCTAGCTTGCTCTCTCCCTCGCTCTCTCTCTCTCTCTCTGTCTCTCTCTCTCTCTCTTTCCCCGTTCTGCGGCTTCCGTTTCGCGCGGCTGTTTGACCGCCAGTGTCGTCGAGCGTACCGCCGCCGAGTTGAAAAGCGTGTCTCTTTGCCTTCGGGTTTGTCGAAGAGGCGTTTGGGGTCCGTCACGTTGCGCTGGACAGCCTGGCCAGCACACTATCGCACACATTGCCCACGAGTTATAGCGACTCGAGCTTCACGACACAGCACTCGGCCTCGCCATCAATGGTGGCACTCGTCTCCGCCGATGTGCGACCGACATTCCGAATGTGCTTGGTGCCATCGTTCTGACCGCACCTGGACTCAAAAGAGCCCGTCTGCATTTTTGGGATATAAGTGTTTCCTCCTTCAGCGGCTATGGATGATTATTGGTAGGCACGTTCCGACCACTTGGCCGTACATCACGCCGTCTTTTTTGCAGGATTGGGTGACCGACAGAAGTATTTGATTTTATCGGCCGGGGAAGCTCGAGATCCACAGTGATAGCTGCCGAGATCGGGCGTGTGGCTTGACGGCTCCACACCGCTACGCGATGTCAGGCGGCATTGAGTTGCGGTCAGCCAGCCTGCCTGCATTTCGCAAAGACTTCTGATATTCGCCTTCGAAACATAACGTGGAGTCCCAGCCATCAATACCCGCTCGATTAGAAGCGTCATAAGCGCGGCTGGACCGGGAAGTTGAAAGACGGATGTGTGTTCTGCACTGTTTGGGAACAAGTTGGCATGGTCATTGCGTCGTACTTATGACCAGTAGCCCAATTGCTTCAATGCCAGTTTGATTGTGATGAAAACCATGCAGAAATCTTGTTGAGCTGCAATTGCGTGGTCGCCGAGATGATCTGGGATGTGTTGAGGCCCCCGCGCAGCTCTGAGTCATCTCCGGGGACCCCACTTGAAGTTTCGCATGAAGTAAACATGGAGTGTTGTTGGCTTCCTAGATGGCATGGGGGTGTATGTATACGCGCGTGCTGATTTGCACAGAAGTGTGGGCAGACGCTTGTCGGGGGGTTCGTCGTTCGGTAAAGCATAGGAGACCAAGGGGAGGATTGGGACGGCCAGCAAAATGGTAGCACCCGTGCACTGTGGCGAGATTTGAGGGAACCGAGAAGTATTACCCGTGCCCCAGGTTCCGAGAAAGGTGGCAACAGTGGCAGAAGGACTTGCAGGCGCGCGACGTGTGAGCAGCCATGCTCGATGAGCCAACGATGCAGTGCCGCACGTGTGTGTCTTGAAGTTCGGGACTGCAGGGCGCTGCCGGACCATGTGAGTACGTGTGCCTTCGAGGCGGTTTTGAATTGTTCGCGCGAGCGCGGGAGCGAATCTGCAGCAGGAGGAGGCAGGAGGCAGGAGGTCGAAGGAGCGGAGGCAGGAGGTTGAAGAAGCGGAGGGGGCGAGGTTGAGGAGGAGGAGGAATAGGAGGAGAAGGCAGGAGGCTGAAGGAGCGGCGGAGGAGGCAGAAGGAGAGAGGCGCAGGAGGAGGACAGAGGAGGGATGAGGAGGACCAGCCAGGTGCGCCCGCGCCCTGTCTGACATCCTATGTACCCTTCCCACCCATCCCTTCATTTGTGTGGTTTGCTTCCCCGTCAGCCGACGCGCGCCACAGCGGACCAGGAGGAGCCCATCGTGTCACGTGCAGTCGGGACACCGGGAGATGCGCACACTGGAGGAGGAGGTGGCGAATGAGCAGGAGGGTGAGCAGGAGGAGAAAGAAGAGGGTGAGGAAGGAAGAGGATGAGCAGGAGGTGAAAGAGATGAGCAGGAGGATGAGCAGGAGGAAGGAAGAGGACGAGGACAGACGGCAGCAGCAGGAGCTGGAGTGGAGGGAGCGGGAGGAGCAGGAGGGCCAGGGGAGGGCGGAGAAGGGTAGTAAACGAGAGGGGCGACAGCGGTGAAGCAGGACTCGACTTCAGAAGAGGGGCCCGCGCAGGGGCGAGAGCGCCATTCTGGGCGAGGGGGGCGAAGCGCCGACCCGAAAACGAGGACCATGCTTAAGTCGGGCCTGTCCCTCTGCAGGGGGAATATTCAAAAATAAGGAAAAAATAGTCTGGGGACTATGTTTTAAAAATATGTTTTGACCATGTTGTAGTATTTCCTGTGTTTTTTATGTGTCGTCGAAAATCCCCCTGTAGGGGGACACGCCCGACTTAAGACCATGCTGCAGCGGGAGAACCGTTTTGAGATACCGAAAGTACTTGGACTGACAAAAACAGAAGAACATGAATGCTTGAAACCCCCGTGTGTAAGCACACTGCGCGGAGAGGGGCAAGTATCTTCCGCACGGAGTCGGGGGTCAGAGGGGAGTAGTATTCAGAATGCGTAAGTGTGCAGGAGGGGGACGAGGAGGAGGAGGAGGAGGAGGAGGAGGAGGAGGAGGCGAGGATCATGAGGGGGAGGAGATGGAGGAGGAGGAGGAGGAGGAGGAGGAAGAGCAGGACGAGGAGGAGGAGGAGGAGGAGGAGGAGGAGGAGGTACGGAGGAGGAGGTACGGAGGAAAGTACGCGGAGGGGGGGACCAGGAGCAGGAGCCCAGCCCCTACCCAGAGATCCCTCCAGCCCCTCCTGGCGGACCTCGTGGCGGGAGGGGTGGGGGCGGCGGCACGGGGAAGCGAGCGCCCAACGCCCCCGCATGCAGGCCCGCCGCCCCTCCCCCTATGGACTCTCACCCATGGCCGCCCCTCCCCGAAGACCCCCCTGCGGCCAGGAAGTTCGGCTTAGCCTGTCGCTCCGCCAGTTCTGGCCCACCGCCTCGGCGCGACACGCGAACCACGCCCCAGCCCCCGAGCGTCAACGTTCCGAGCCTTCCCCAGCCTCGCGCCCCGTGGAGCGGAGCGACACGCTGGCCGCTCGCAGGGCATAGCGTGTCGCCAGGGCCGCCGCCGCGACATGCTGAGCGGAAGTTCCCGACCGTACCATCTAGATTCTCACTTGTCTCCGCTTGAGCTATTTGCCCCCACCGCTGGTGGCTTCTCGTCACTGCAGCCGCCTGGACCTCCGCATCCCGCTTGGGTCCTCCATCTGATTACACTGGGTCCCACATCATGTACTCCGCCACTTTCGTGTTCGATGGAGAGGAGCCTCCCCCATCGTTGCCCAGGACAGCGCTGCGCTATGGAAGAGATCCCCAACCCCTGCCCAGGGCAGCGCTGCGTTGAACGGGTGTTTGCTCCGTGCGTTCTTGGCCTCATCCTCTTCCCGCCTCCCCGCTTGTGCCTGGCTCCGGGGCCCGATTGCGGCCACGTTCGCTGGATACCATGCATCCCTGGCTGAGTATTTGACCGTTGTGGCCCACTCTGTGGTTTCACTTTTGTCTGCCCAATTTCGTCGTCTGCAGTGGTTCGCTCCCTTCTCCTCTAAAAAACTTCGCCTGGCGAAGGACCCAACCATATGCAGTTGTGATAGCATTCGTTGCACGCACCGCATTCGGAGGAGCTCCCTATAGGGCCACGAAACGTGTGATGGGGTATGCCGCAATAGGTGCGGTTGGCGCATGCGAACGCAGCCACTGGGGCCTTCGGTGGAGCTCCCTGTGGGGCCATGGTGTGCCAAAATGGGCGCGGTGGGCGCATGCGAACTCAGCCACTGTGGCCGTCGGTGGAGTTCCCTATGGGGCCACGAATCGTGTGAGGGTGTCCCACAGATGTGTGCAGAGGGCGAATGCGGACGCAGCCAATGGGGCCGTCGGAAAAGCCCCCCCGTGGAGCCACGAAACGTGTGAGAGGAGCCACAAATTGGCGCGGTGGGCCCATGCGGACGCAGCCACTGTGGCCGTCGGTGGAGTTCCCAATGGGGCCACGAAACGTGTGAGGGGTGTTCCGAAATAGGTGCGATGGGCGTATGCGAACGCAACTACGAGCGCCTTGGGAGGAGCTCCCTATACGGCCTCGAAACGTGCGAGGGTATGCCAAAATGGATGCGGTGGGCGCATGCGAACGCAGCCACCGGCGCCGTCGGTGGAGCTCCCTGTGGGGCCACGAAACGTGTGAGGGTGTGCCAAAAATTTGTGCGGTGGGCGCATGCGAACGCTGGCGTGTGGACCTTCGGCGGAGCTCCTTTTTGAGGCCACGAAGCGTGTGAGGGGTGTGCCGAAAATGGGTGCGGTGGGCGAATGCGGACGCATCCACGGGGGCCCTCAGTGGAGCTTCATGTGGGGGCACGAAACGTGTGTGGGGTGTGCGGTGGGCGCATGCGCACGCAGCCACTGGGGCCGTCGGTCGAGCTCCCTACGGGGCCGCGAAGCGTATGAGGGTGTGCCAAGAGCTCCCTACAGGGCCACGAAACGTGTGAGAGTATGCCAAAAATGGGTGCGGTGGGCGCGTGCGAACGCAGCCATTGGGGCCGTCGGTGGACTTCCTTTTGTGGTCACTAAACGTGTGAGCGGTGTATCCAAATTGGTGCGGTGGGCGCATGCGGACGCAACCATTGTGGCCGTCGGCGAAGCCCCCTTATGGGGCCACGAAACGTGTGAGGGGTGTACCGACATAGGTGCGGTGGGCGCATGCGGGCGCAATTGCGAGGGCCGTGGGAGGAGCTCCCTAAACGGCCACGAAACGTGTGAGCATATGCCAAATACGTAGGCGCGGTGGGTGCATGCGAACGCAGCCATTGGGGCCGTCGGTGCAGCTCCCTGTGGGGCCACGGAACGTGTGAAGGGTGTGCCAAGAGGGGTGCGGTGGGCGCATGCGAACGCTGGCGTGTGGACCTTCGGTGAAGCTCCCCATGGGGCCACGAAACGCGTGAAGAGTGTGCCGAAAAAGGTACATGCGGAGGGCAGGGGCAAAGAGGGGGACGACGGAGGACGAGGAGGAGGAGGAGGGCAGGAGGTGAGGTGACGCGGGGCGTTGCCTCTTCAAAACGAGGGGCTAATTCCAAAGGATGGGCGGGAACGAAAGAACCCCCCAGCTTAAAATACAATTACCTTGGCGAAGGACCCAACCATATGTAGTTGTGAATACCGCAGTTGTGAATATTTTCTTCGGTGGAGATTTTTACGTGGCCACGAAGCGCTGCACTGGGTGGGGGGGAACGCATGCGGGCGGTAGCACTGGGGCCGTCGGTGGAGCTCCGTTATGGGGCCACGAAGCGCTGTACCGGGTGAGGTGGGACGCATGCGGGCGGTAGCACTGGGGCCGTCGGTGGAGCTCCCTATGGATCCACGAAACGCTGTACTGGGTGAGGGCACGCATGCGGGCGGTGGCGCTGGGACCTTCGGAGGAGTTCCCTACGGGGCCACGAAGCGCGGTACTGGGTGAGGGGGGACGCATGCGGGCGGTAGCACTGGGGCCGTCGGTGGAGCTCCCTATGGATCCATGAAACGCTGTACTGGGTGGGGGGGCGCATGCGGGCGGTAGCGCTGGGACCTTCGGCCACGAAACTTTTTACTGGGGGGGACGCATGCGGGCGGTAGCACTGGGGCCGTCGGTGGGACCCCCTATGGGGCCACGAAACGTTGTATTGTGTGTGGGGGACACGTGCGGGCGGTAGCACTGGGGCCGCCGGTGGAGCCTCCGTATTGGGCCACGAAACGCTGCACTGGGTGGAGAGGACGCATGCAGGCAGTAGCACTGGGGCCGTCGGTGGAGCCCCTTATGGGGCAACGGAACGCTGTACTGGGTGGGGGGGCGCATCAGGCGGTAGCATTGGGGCATTCGGTGGGGCTTCCTGCTGGGCCAACAAACGCTATGCTGGGGGGGGGAGAAACGCATGCGGGCGGGCGGTAGCACTGGGGCCGTCGGTGGAGCTCCCTAGGGGGGCCGCGAAACGCTGTACTGGGCGGGGGGAGGACGCATGCGGGCGGTAGCATTGGGGCCGTCGGTGGAGCTCCCTATGGGTCCACGAAACGCTGCATTGGGGGGGGCACGTGCGGGCGGTAGCAGTGGGGCCGTCAGTGGAGCTCCTTATGGGGCCACGAAACGCTGCACTGGGGGAGGGGGGGGGGCGCATGCGGGCGATAGCACTGGGGCCGTCGGTGGAGCTCCCTACAGGGCCATGAAACGTAGTATTGGGTGGGGCAGACGCATGCGGGCTGTAGCACTGAGACCTTCGGTGGAGCTCCCTATAGGGCCAAGAAACGTGTGACGGGTGTGCTAAAACGGGTGATGACGATGATGACGATGATGACGATGATGATGATGATGATGATGATGATGATGATGATGATGATGATGATG